ACGTTTTTTTTTATTTTCGAAAACTTCGCAACCCATACCCGTAGTCCTGTAATCATTCATCTTATTACTTGCAAAAAATGCGCTGACACCAACATTGTACCGGTTTGCAATCGTTATTTCTGCGATTGTTTGCAATTTTAATTTCAAAAGATGCACCTTGTCCCCGTAACTTTAAAACTTTGTACCCATCCCAATCATGCCATATAACCCGCTCCACGCTGACACCCATGGATTCACTCAGCTCGTGAATTCCCTGATCTCTAGCCCCCATCAGGGAGTGGTAGACGCTGCCCGGGTTCTGACCTCCAGAAATATTCGAATGCTTAAAGTTACTGGAGTTCGTTTCCTGCTTGATGTCATTTGATACGGTCAACATTCAGAGATAACCAATTCGCTCCAAAACCACTGGAGTCCGGGCCGTGCCTGCCCCGGTGGTGGTTACATTCATGGCCATAACAAATGATATACGCTATCCCATATTAGGCTCACTGAGGTATCCTGACCTGTGTGAGGAAGCCGTTTGATCTCATTTCCACAACTGGTGGGCAAAATTACTGACGCCAACCAACCGGTAAGCTCGGGGCAGCTTTTTGTTTGGCAGCAGCCATGCTTCCGAAATGACAACGTTATCCATCAATGGGTTGTTGCACTTTGACGCTGCACGCTCTCAACCGCCGGCAAACATAATACTTCTGGTTGCAAAGTCGATATAATGTGGGAAGGGGGGGGGGGGCGCTCTACCTGAAGCTCTTTACGCAAAACAAAATCGCTTAAGATGCACATTGGCACCCAAACACTCAAGCACATTAGCACCCAAGCATTCAAGCACATTAGCACCCAAGCACTCAAGCACATTAGCACCCAAGCACTCCAGCGCAAAGCGCTCAAGAATCGCGTTACTCAAGATAAAGCAAAAGGGCAAAAGATCAGCGAGAGTGCCGTGCACGTACACCATCTTACAACTGCTGTGACTGGTGTGTTCACTCGGATTTGATTTTGCCTATTCCCCATGACCCATTGTCCAAATCCGGTTCAGTCAGTACATATGTTCTCCAGCCTCGTCCCTCGATCTTCCTGTTGAGATATTTGATGGTCATTTGTCATGAGCGTGTTGCTGTTAACAAGCACTCGGGTGGGGGGTCATCTTGACCTCCTTCCAAAGATTTTTCCAGAATGGTTTCCGAACAGCGCGGCGTAACCGCACAGAATTTTGCAAAGCTGTAGACAAATAAATAGCGGATTGTTTGGCATCCAAAATTTAGATGTACTTTGTACGGTCGTCGACCTATGGCAGGTCAGTCAGGCCGTGGTTTCAGCGAAGGTAGTTTCTAGGGGATCCTTCAATCTGATCCAACAACGGAGTGTTAGACGAAGCCATACATCTCTGAGATGCCTTCTTAGGCAACATAGCAGTTGAATGAGCAAATTAAATTGATCTAAGGTCAGGCATGAAGGTTACACCAAGGTCAAAACCAACCTGTTTTGTTATTGTAGGGCTTGCTGTATGGGATAGTTTATGGTGCTCATTTCGAGTTTATTGATAGCAGGAACCATATTATACATCTTCCATGGACTTCTTAGAGGTCAGAATGGGTCATTGGCCTAAAATGACCGAGGTCAAAATCGTGTTTTAGGAACACACTGCCTAGCGTAATCTTTGTCGCTTAGTAAAATGCAAAACTCAAAGCAATCTTGTATGATCTGGTCACCTTGACCTTCAAAACATCAAACAAGGTCACTGACCTTGAATGAGAATATGACCTTTTGCTAAGAAATGGTTATCTAGGCTCTGCGGGCACTTGGGAGACCAACCTGGAACTTGACATTGTTTGACCTTTTTTGACCCGAAGATCATGACCTAGGCATTTAAAACATTGACCTAAGTGAGTTCATGTACAGTTCAACACATTCTGTAGATTTGGTGTCTCTAGCTTTTTTAGTTCCCGAGATCTCAGCGGGGGGTCCAAATGACCCCCGCACGCGAGCGAAGGGTATTTAGCCGGCCACCCGTGCGCGTGTTAAGTTAACCTCGCGCACCACTTCGGGCCTTGCGCCCATTTCGCGGATATGTGCTTAATCCCCGTCGTTCAGTCGCACCTGCTGTCGACCACGATGATCTCAGCGTTGTGTTCAATGAAAATGTCATGTACGTGCAAGTGCTATGCAAAATGCTCGGCGTAAACGTTGCGCGAAACATAGCGCAGAATCGCGAGGTGAATCGAGCACACAAAACAAACAACGGAACAAGGAGAAAACCGATGGAAAACGGAAGGTTGGTGCATGCCAGCGCAATCCTTTGGCCCACCAATCCCAACAAATGACGGATCAGGCGGCGCTGACGCAACGCACCAGGCCGCTGAGCCACTTACTGGTCAAGCTTCGCGTGGTCACAGTGCTCATCTGCCTAATGACCGAGCCGCGCGCGCGTGCGTGCGGTGGAGCGGACCGTGTAGCGGCGCGCGGCCGTGGGCGAAGCGAGCGGGGCAAGCGATCAGAGGCGGTGTCAGTGGCACAACCTTGCCCACCTCCCACGCTGCGCCGAGTCGCTGGTCAGACGACGGTGTCGCCACAGCAGGCGAGCCTCGGCGTCTGTGTGCGAGGGGAGCGGGATGGGGGGGGGGGGGGGGGCGCCAGCTGCGCCAGACCGCCGCGTGCTCAGCAGACTGCGGCGGACTCATCAGCTCAGAGAGCAGCACCGCTGGGGAACGTGGTCCGGTCTCTTTCCGTTTGTTAGCGCCTTTACTGTAATTTTCGGCGATGTAATACTTACTCCAAGTAATAATTACGCTGAAAGGAACATCCAAACCTTTTCTGATAGGGGGAGTTAGGGAAACTTTCGATTGCAGAGTGCTTCTCTCCAGCCCAATCAGGTGCAGAGCAACATAAATGTTGCATTGTCGATGCTTCCTCCATCTGTTTTTGTCACCAAGCCGCTTCTAAATTTGCTACTACTTTTGAGAAAGCCACTAAACGTGCTTCCACGTCCCATAGCACAACGTTTCTGTGCTAGCCCGCAAGTCAAAATATTAGCTTTGCAGATTTAGGTATACTTCAGCTTGTATCTTGAAAATGCAGAGTTGTACCGAGAGGGTGAATGCGAGGAAAGGGAGACGGAGTAGGGTGAGCCTAGCCCTCGATCAATCAATCGCTTTACCGCAGGTGCCGTCTACACCTGTCGTTTAGTATTGCGTAGTCGTAATTTCATAATGGCGGGAAACGTCCATGACTTTTTCACAGAAAATCCTATTCAAGCGCGCCACAGGCTCTCAAAATCTTGTCCATGCCATTTATCAACATTGCTTGCTTTCCATCAGCCTGGTTTTGCTTGTCTAGTTTGATTTTGTGATTGTTCACACGTATTGACGTGCGTATTTCATGCTAGGTCACTGCGCCAATCTTAAGTCGTTCGATTCCCAGTCCCATGCCCGTTATGACCAGTAAAACTGTCAAACTACCTGCACTATGAACCACAAAACTTGGTT